GGTGTCTTGGCCTGGCCGAGACACTAAGGGGTGTCTCGGCGAGGCCCGGAACGTAGTTTTACGCGCTCTGTCCGTTTTTGCCGTATTTTCATTGTCCGAACTCAAAATTGTGTGATTCAAAGTGTGTTGGAAAGCCGACGAGGAGATCTACAAGCTTTCATGATTGAATCACATGTGGAGTAAATAGGATCTGAGGGGCGCTTCGTCTTTTGTAAGCGACACGTAGCTCTCGATCAGTTCGTGTTTGGTTATTCTGAAGTTCCGTTGCTTCACACGGTACGTCGACTCACTTCATGTATTTGTCATCATCAAATGAGCTTCTGTAACTCGAATAGTGATGTTTATCATCTTCTCTTTATCTCGAGCCGCGTGCGGGAACCTATATGTAATTTTTGACGCCTACAGATACCCCCTCTAAAGTGTTTCAGTCTCGTTTCTTTTATAGATGAGCCTGAAATACTTTGGATATGATCGGTCCAACCTTCAGTCGGTGTAAAAGGACCTGTAGTTAGCTTTAATTCTTGACTCTTTCAATTTTTAGTCTATTCGATAGTTTGACAAATAGCTAAAGTTCTCCTGGCACTACGTTTATCGTCTAGCCGTCGTCGAAGTCTTGAATCAAACCGGTGAGTTGATTTTGGCTCGTGTCATTGAGTTGACTTAGAACTGACTATCTCTGTCACAATATATATTGACTTGCGTTGACTTTCATTATAACACGTTGACTGGCGTTGACCTAGGGTTACGCGTTGATCGATGTTAACCTAGGGTTTCGGATCGTCCGGCATTGACTTTTTATTACAACGCATTGATTGGCGTTGACCTAGGGTTACGTGTTGACCGGCGTTAATCTAGGGTTTCGGATCACCCGACGTTGACTTTTTATTATAACGCGTTGACTAGCGTTGACCTAGGGTTAGGCGTTGACCGACGTTAACCTAGGGTTTTAGATCTCCCAATGTTGACTTTTCATTGTAACATGTTGACTGGTGTTGACCTAGGATTACGCATTGACCAGCGTTGACCTTAGGGTTTCGGATCGCCCGGCGTTAACACAGTTTATACTCATACGTTTGCTGGAGTCTACACAGTTCAAGCTCTTAAGGCATTGGAGCATGGCGGTCCCAATAATTAGGGCTGTAGGACCAACTGTTAAAGCTGATTCGTCTGTAGATATGGATCTTATCCCGAAGTTGTTGGATGCTCGAGTCACGAGACCAACTAATGGGGCTGATGCGTCAATGACTCTCACATTCATAGGATTTTTGGCAAACCCTCAGCCATCAACGGGTTTGATGAGCCTTTACTGACTACCGTTTGAGTCGGGCTAGCATGTGAATTGTTTAAATCCGTTCCGCATGTGACGTTATGCTAAAAGAGTTAACTCTTTTAGTGCTATGATATTGAATACGTAGACTTCGTCTTTCTCATGGGAATAGACTACCCGACCGCATGTATCAGATGCAGACTCAGGATTTTTGGCAAATCCTCAGCCATTAACGGATTTGACGTGCCTTTACTAATTACCATTTGAATCGGGCTTGCATGCAGATTGTTTAAGTCCATTCCGCATGTAACGTTGTACTAAAAGAGTTAACTCTTTTAGTGCTACGATATTGAATACGTAGACTTTATCTTTCTCATGGGAATTG